AAAGTGGTGCAGAGTTAGTGAAAACAGCAGCTGGGAGCATGTCAAAGAGCGCTTGGCACGTTCCAGCAGTCAGGCCCCTATGGACACCTCAGATTCAGCACCTACACTCACAGGTTTTGTAAAAGTGCCCCTGAGAAAATAAATCCAACTACATCCAAACAGGACCACACAGTTCTGTCACCTCTACCCTCACACCTCTCCTCTGGCCAGGAGGGCCTAGCATCAACTCGCAGTTACTTCTTGCTTTTTACCAGCAACACAGTCTCACTGCTAGGGCAGGGAGGAAAGACCTTCCCTGTGAACATCACTCAATACTCTGAGCCTGAAAACCACTTGGGAGCTTTCAGAGCTGCTGCTTTTGATCACTGATGGATCGCCGTCGGTCACCTACCTGCTTGCCAAATGGAGGTGCCCAAGTCTACCTGGGGAGACTTTCTGGCACCAGCAAATCCCAGGGCATCTTCCAAGAACTGTATCTTCTTGCTGAACTGCATCTCCAGGATTGGGATGGCTTCGGGCATCTTTGCTGACAACAGCCGGTAGGAGGTGTCGGGCTTCCCAATAAACCTCTGGCGAACGCTGATTTCATACGGTGTATGAACTCTGATATCATCTACATCTTTGGATTCAAACCTGTGAATGACCTGGGAATTGCAGTCACTGATTTCCAGGCCAGAAGCGAGGAGCGTGAGTTTTCCTGGCTTGACATTTGAGTCTGTTCTGTGGGTGATAATAACTGGAATTCTAATTATGATTCCTTCCTGGTTCTTTGAATCGGAAACTGTGGCAGTTTCCTTTGGCTTGGCTTCCAACGGTGCTTTCCAGAGCTTGCTGCTAAATGGCCACCAAGAAGGAGATTCGAGTTCAGTCAACAATCTAGAGGAGAAGAGAGAGTGTTAGAAGAATGAAAGCCAATAGGGTCATGCTGCCCCACCAATTCAAAGCAAATTACCACAGAAGCAAAGATTTCTTATTACTGAATCCAGCACTCTGTTATTTCACATCTCAATCTTATTCACAGCTTACCAGCATCCATACATTAAAAACAAAAAAGGCTTTCCCGCATCCGCTATTATATTGGAAAGCGGTCCCAAAACCTCCTTGTTCTCTTGTGAGAAATCCAGCTTCCAACTGGATTTATTCAAGCCAATTTACACTCATCTATTGTGCTAACACTGCCTTTTAG